GCAACTCCAGACGTCATAAATATTTGAGGACAGAACAGACTTTCCTGTTCCTATCATATATTCTTAAAATAAACCTAGTTTTGTTTTGTTTTTCCAGAAAGCACATGCAATTCTGTAGAACAACTATTGTAGACGATGGAACAGAAAATTATGTGCATTATGATGGGGAAAGGAGAATTACCAGCAGCCCTGCGAAAGAGCGATGGACAGAGTTAAGAAGCAAAGGGTCCAGGATGATGTGAATGAAAGGGGACACAAAATCAACAAATCAGGGTTAAGCAAGGTCACCTCAATTGCTTACAAGCAATTGCATGTAAGCAAGGAAGTGCCTACAAGGCACCATTATGGGAAAACCCACCAGCATACCAGTGTGCCCCCCTGAAGTGCCTGTACACTCATGCATGCTGCAGGGGGAACGAACATGAGGAATTAGAGATCTGTGTGCAGTTGCAAGGCTACGATCTTTTGGGGATCACAGAGACATGGTGGAATGGCCCGCATGGCTGGAGTGCTCCAAGGGGGTAAGTGCAGGCTGGGAAGACAAGGAAGAGAAGGAGTTGCCCTCTATGTGACAGAACATCTTGAGTGCACGGAGCTTTTCCTGGGGATGGATGATGAGCCAACTGAGAGCCTATGGGTAAGGACTACAGAGCTGACCAGCGTGGATGACAGTGTAGTGAGTGTCTGCTATAGGCCACCTTGTTACCTGTGTAAAACCATATGTTTGAATGAGTGCATAGGTTATAGTGCCACTATTCAAGTTAGAATTAGATACACTGCAGTCAAATCTTCTAAGGAGAACAGGGAGCCATGACTTTACTATGTAAGCCTGCTTACCTTGTATAAACAACGCAGGCCTTACTAACTAGGCCCTTGAAGAGAAACTGAAAGACTGATAAAAAGGGAACATCCCACCCAGAAGGTGCTGAAAGTTGAGTGATTGCTAAAGAAGCATAAAGTCAGCAAAAATCTATGGTAACTGGGGGAAAGGTAAAGGCAGTAGGGGGAGATCACAACCACTGACTCAGCTTAAGACCATGAAGACAAGCCCTCCCTCACCCTTTGAGTTTGCACAGAAAACTTAAAAGACACTAACTTTAAATCGAGACAAGGTATGTTGTTAATCAGTGAGGGACAAAGTGATAAGAAACTCACCAATAGTCATTACAGTAAATGTATATTTGTGTAGTTTGAAGTGTATAAATACATTGAAGTTCTTTTGGGCAGTGTGCTAGCTTTGTGGAGTTGCCACCTAGCACCCATCTTTGCACAAACAAAATACCCCTGCTCTGTGTGTATATTGGCATGTTGCATATCAAGTAAACAACCCTCCTTGTGGGTCAACAACCTGACCAGGAAGAACAAGTGGATGAGGCCTTCTACAGACAGCTGGAAGTAGCTTGACATTTCCAGGCCCTTCTACTCTTGGGAGACTTCAACCACCCTGATAGGTGCTGGAGAAAGAACACCGCAGTGCATAAGCAGTCCAGGGGGTTCTTGGAGAACATCAATAATGAATTCCTGACCAAAGTGACAACGGAGCCAACGAAGACAGGCACTCTACTAGACCTCACACTCACAAACAAGGAAGAGCTCACTGGGGATGCAAACATCAAAAGCAGACTTGGCTGCAGTGACTGTGAGATGGTGGAGCTCAGGATCCTGAGGAAGGAGTGGAGCAAAAAGCAGGATCACAACCCTGAACTTCAGATCAGACTTTGGCCTCTTCAGGGATCTGCTTGAATGAGTCCCACAGAATAAGGCCCTGGAAGGAGAAAGAGCCCAAGAAAGCTGGTTGATATTCAAGGATCACCTCCTCTAAGCTCAAGAGCAGTCCATCCCAATGAACTGCAAGTCAGGAAAAAATGCCAGGAGGCCAGCACGAATAAAGAAGGAGCTCCTGGCAAAAAGTGGCAAAAGGAAGAATAGAGAAAATGCAGGCCTGCTGCTGAATGGGATAGGGCCCTGGTGACACAGGTCATGGAAATGCTGAGGTACTGAGTGCTTTTTTCACCTCGGTCTTTACTAGCAAGATCAGCTTCAGAAATCTGAGGCCCCAGAGAACAGGGGGGAAGTCTGGAGCAAGGAAGACATACCCTTGGTGGAAAAGGATCGTGTTAGAGAACACTTAGGCAAACTGGACATATGTAAGTCTATGGGCCCTGATGGGATGCACCTACAAGTGCTATGGACCTGACTTATGTCATTGTGAAGCCACTCAACTACCTTTGAACAATTATTGTGATTGGGAAAGGTGCCTGAGGAGTGGAATAAAGCAAACATTGCACCTATCTTCCAAAAGGGGGAGAAGGAGGACCTAGGGAACCAGTCTGATCAGCATCACCTTGATGCCTGGGAAAGGGATGGAACAACTAATCCTGGCAACCATTTCCAGGCACATGAAGGACAAGGAGGTTATTCAAAGTAGTCATCATGGCTTCTCCAAGGGGAAGTCATGCTTGACCAGCCTGATAACCTTCTATGATGAAATGACAGGCTTGGCAGATGAGGGCAGAGCCGTGGATATTGTCTACCTTGACTTCAGTAAGGTTTTTGACACTGTCTCCCCTAAGGTCCTCGCAGAGAAGCTGATGAACTGTGGACTAGATGAGCAGACAGTGAGGTGGACTGAAAACTGACAGAATGGCCAGGCCCAAAGGGTGGTGATCAGTGGCACAACATCTAGTTGGAGGGCCAGTAATTAGCAGTTTATCCAGCATATCAGTACTGAGTCCAGTACCGATTAATATCTTCATTAATGATCTGGAACATGGAGCAGAGTGTACCCTTGACACAAAACTGGGAGGAGTGGCTGATACACCAGATGGTTATCTTGCTAGCCAAGGAACCTCAACAGGCTGGAGAAATGGGTTGATAGGAACCTCATGTAACTCAAAAAAGGGAAGCGCAAAGTCCTGCAATTGGGGAGGAACAAGCCCAGTCACCAGCACATGTTGGGAATGAACTGGCTGGAAAGAAGCTTGGCAGAAAAGGGCCTGGGAGTCCCGGTGGACACCAAGTCAAACATGAGCCAGAAACACGCCCTTGAGACAAAAAATAAGTTAACAGCGTCCTGGACTGCCTTATGAGGAGTGTGTTGCCAGCAGGTTGTCAAAGAGAAGCTGTGGAATCTCCATCCCTGGAGATATTCAGAAGCCATCTGAACATGTTCTTGGGCAACCTGCTGTAGGTGACATCACCTGAGCAGGGGTGGTAGACAAGATGACCTCCAGAGGTCCCTTCCAACCTCAATCATTCTATGGTTTTGTGTTTATACAACAAGGACTCAAACAGCTGACTGAAGATGAGTGTTGACGGTCTAATCCAAGGGGAGTCATGGCTTCAGTGCAATAAACCAGTAAAGAATTAAGTAAATTATACCAATGGAATTTGAGTCCTTCCCAAACTGCCACCCTATAAAGTCTAGAGATATAGTGGGCAATGAACTGATTTTCTTGACTATAGGACCAATCTCTGAGCTCTAATCATGACAACTTAATGATGACTTTTTAACTGTTTCATAGTTTTAATGGAAATGTTAAAGCACAACTGAAAAATAGCACCTGGAGTTTGAATGAACAGCACTGTCTCCCAAGACCGCAGAATGCCACAGTTAGGTTGAGTTGCTGCATTGGACAGTGTCCCCTGTCCACACAAAGATGCCTATTCAGGATACTGGAAGCGGGCACAAACAGAAAAGCAGCAATGTTTTAAGAGAAAAGTTTTCATTCGAGCCCTGCGATTACTGCAAGGAAATACTGGAATGAATACTTGTAAGAGCAATCAAACAACTCATAGATTGGATTCACATAAGATATTTGCTTTGTTCTTTCAGATGATAAACACATCAGTAAAAATTCTCAAGTGTTGAACAGAGTAAAGGGATCAAGTCGTTGTGCCTTTTCCGTGATAATGATCTGACACTTTTTACAGGAGTTTCTCTATGGGTTTGTTTGTGCTGGCAAGATGCGAGGTGGAAATATTTGTTTGCTCCAAACTGGACTGACACGGGCAGAAAAGAGATCAGTATCTTTGAAATTAACCCATATGTTCATTGCCTATTTGAGTGGTGTTTGAAAAATGAACTCACCCGATTTATATTACACCTATGCCAATCATCCTGGAATTACACATTTTTTTTTTCCTTGTATCCCCTTTAAAAACATTCTGTGGTATTAGGAAAAAAAAAAAAAAAAAAAAAAAGAACATTTTAATCAGTTCATCTCTGTATTTAGTTACTCATAAGAGGAAAAGACTGAATGAAAAGAGAAGGTATGCTGCATATCATTTTAAAGTGGAAAAAGTATGTGAAATGGAGAGAGGATAAGATTATTAAAAAGCTGTAAAAGAACCACATAAATTTGTGATTTATTTCTCCCATTTTTCATTGTAAATTAGATTTTCAACTCCCTTACAAAAATCTCAGATGGATTTGAAGAAAGGTTTTGTGGAAGGAGAAAATATGTGGAAGGCAATAAAATTATTATTACCTTCCATATTCTTTTTATGGAAGGTGAGAAAATAAATTTTCTGAATACCCACTATATGGATATAAACTTTTCATCTGGAATACTTAAACAGGCTTTAGACTCATGAGTTAGTTTTCTTTGCAAATACATTAAAAGAATAGTTAAATTAAAAAATACTACTCATGAACATTTTCTCACCCTGCTGCATTTGCACAGAACTGAGCTGCTTAAGTTACTCCGTGATGGGGAAGAGCAATCCCTTATTCTCTCCTCTGAGATATACCCCTTAAGCCCTGCACAGCCTGCCTGAGGCATGCTTGGTGTGTTTGCCTCGGATGGCGTAGTAAATATTACGGTGATCACAGAACAAGGACACAAGTTTCTAATGAACAGCCAAAGAGTTGAGCTGGCAAACCTGCCTTTTTCAGCTCCCAGCCCTTTATATATAGGCTGTGCCAGTAGCTCCACAGGTACGAAACGACCAGAAAATATTGCTGGATTTGAAAAATCTTTCTTCTCTATTTTACTTACCATAGCTTGTCACAGAGGATTAGGTTTTCTGCTTTTTCTCCTATATCTGCTCCTCAAGACAGGTCTGTGCTTTATTTGCTCTGCATTACTTCTCTTCTGCATTTGAGCAGTGCTCACCTAGCAAATTCACAACTAGTCTCTTCTTCTGACTTTATCTTAAAACAGAAAACTAAGGTAAAGGAAAGGAAAAGCTGCACCAAGTATTAAACTGAAGTGGCAGCGGAGCAGCAATGCTTGCCAACTGGCAGGATGAAGGACCAAATGGCAGCAAGTCTGTACCCCTGTCCCAGCCTGGAACACAGTTTCCCTTTTAAAAAAGTCTGACAGTGACTTGCAGCCCAGAATACGGCTGCAAGAGCCGGGGCTGGCACTGCAGGCAGCGCCACCGGCAGCCACCCACTGAATGTGAGCTCAAGAAAATCATGGAAAAATCCCTGCTGCTCGCTCCCTCTGGACGGCTGCAGTCCCATGGCTGAGCCTGGCAGGCTGGGGGGGAACTGGAGAGGAGGGACCCGTGGCTGGAGATGGCAGGGCAGGGGACCAGGGCTCTGCGGAGGAAGCAGATGGATGATACAAGACCCTTGAGAGGGTTTGCACAAAGCACCTCCAAAACCTGACAAGCAGAGCAGTAGAAAGCGTGAAAGAACTTGTCTGAAAGACATTTAAGTTGGCCATAGAGATTAGAGGCAGGAGTTAGCATCTCATTAATGATGAAAGATAATTAGTAGGGTGGGGATAAACAGCAGAGCACCTTGAAAATGAAGGCATATAGCCAACTTTTGATGTAATTAGAAAAGTATAAGCCAGAAAAGGGATCAAAAGAGAGAGACAGTGGATTGTATGTTGTCAACCCAACTGCAAGAAGTAAGATTTTAGGACAAGTCCCCAACAGAGCTATCATGTAGTTAAATTAAGAAAGATGGCAACGTCATGGGGACAGCATCCAACAGGTTCTATAACAATTTCTTCACAATCTTTTCTCCGGACAGCATAGCTCAGCCCTGGCAGAGGAGACTGTGAGCACAGCTACCTGCCAGAGGAACGATGCTTACTGTCCCACACCAGCAAAAACCCTGTACTGGTTCTGCTCACACCTCAGCAAGGAGCACGTGCCGGCAGCCAGCCAGCTTTGAGGGGTGATGGTTGGGCAGGAGCTCTGCTCCTACATTGCTCCTGTTGCAGTTTGCTCTCTTGTTCCAAATGAGAAGTGGAGGCTTTGAAAAGCATCACTGACATTTGCTCACAACAAATGTTCCCGCAACACACAAACTGAAAAGTACTTGGACATCCGTTTCCCCCAGTACCACTTTTTCTCTCGGTTTCTCTTTACCTATTCATTGCTTGGGGGGAAAAAACAAACAAACAAAAACCCCAAGGTCTTCAGCAACAAGTCAGCTATTTTGAAGTCTACAATCACACACCCCACTACACAATTCCTCTGTAAATTCTGGATGTGATGAAGACCAGTATTGCTCCTCCTCCTCCAATAGACTCTTACTAGTGAATCTTGGAGACTGTTCCTCTCCATGTCTCTTGGCTTCTATTGCTTGTGAAAAATGTAGCGGTTTCTGCCACTTCGCTCTTCTGTTGGTTCCAAAAGATAACATGAAGAAACCCAAAGAGGCTAAGTCTGCTGGAGGTTACTAAGTATAATAGTTTTGAAACAACCTCTGCCTCAGGATGCCCCTGAACTGTGGATATTAAGAAGCTGAACTGTGGATATCAAGAGGAAAGAGCACGTTTTGTGCTTGGTTTCTTACACTGTTGTCCTAATCGTCCCACATGGACTGTTGTCTGAGACAGGATAATGGCCCAAAGGGATATTTGATTACACTCAGCAGGGCAGCTCTGATGGCAGCCCTTCCCCACCTAGCAGAGGAATGCTGCTTCTCCCTCTAAAGCAGCAAAGGAGCATTCCCTGGCAAAACTTCTGACAGTCTTAACTGCCTTCTTGTGGGAGCCCTTCCCCACCCGACATCTTTGTTTCTTCACTTGACAGATATGCAGGATTAGTATGTCCCTCCTACTGGGAAGCTGTCAGAAAACCTACTGTATTTCTCCCTCACCACACAATTTCACTGTGAAACTTTCAGTCCTTTGATAGAAAAGCGATAAATCAATCTCTTACAGCCTAGTCAGATAAGAAAGTGAAGCTTATTATAACTGTATGGCTGTCCCACATAGAAAATCTTTACTTTTTCAGAGAGATCCTCATAAGCATTCTGATATTTTAAAGTAATCCCAAACCAATTTCAAGACCAAAAAGAGGCTATTCTGCAAAACTCCTGTACCTCCAGCCTGATTACCAGTGTCAGGAATCTCCGTGTTTAATTTGTGGAAACTGAATGCAGCGTTCACATCTAATGTGAGTTAGCTCTGTAGCCTCACCGTCTGCTATTGCCTAGAACAAGAAATTTCACCTTAAGTGTTCTACCATTACAAGTAAGTGTTCCTCCTCTTTTTTTCTTGATAATGCAAGTACCACCTATTTGATTAGATCATATTTTGTCATGGCTTTCTTCATGTCTGAAGGTAAAGTTTGGGATCAAGACATAGGAGACAAAAAGAACACGTAAACATTTTATCAGTGAGACACTAACTCCTTCCAGAACCAAGCAAACCAAACAACTTCACTCATATCCAAAGACTACAGTCTTAGTCCTCCCACACCAAGGGAAACCCCTCAAGAAACTCACCTTTTGCTATCCTTGCTCAATGTTAGAGTAAAAAAAGCACCAGGAGTTGTAACAGTCTGAATGCTAATCCATTAAAAGGAGATTGGTCAAATCACATGGCTCAGTCCAAATTCAAAAAACTACTCCTCCCCGGATTTTGGTTTTGTCTGTGTGTTTCTCCTCACTAATAGTTATTCTAATAGACCCAGTAGCTTTGTCTCAAATGCTTTTTAACAGTCTTATTTCAGCCACAGGACTTCTGAAACAGTCACTAGTTTTTCTAAATGCTGAATCTTCAAATTGTCTTCTATTTATAGAGACGAGTACCAGGTAAGATATTTTCATCAATTTTACACAAATTACTTTATTGAAGAACCTAGTTTCCTGATGTGGATGATTTCTTGGATGATGTGTATGCTGTAGCCATTTATTACTTTTCTTCTCCACTTTTTTTTAATTTTTTTAAAGAGAGATTGAAAAAAAAAACCACCCATGTGCTCCTCAAGGTGATGTTTTTGATTGTGCTTGCCCAAGTGGATGGTTACCATAGCTCCCTGCCATGGCTGAACAGTGCTTTGCCTCCCTGAACTTGACAAATCAATCCTTTTTAATACTGAATGACTTTCTACAATACCATGTTGGTCTTTTCCCAGGATTAATTTTCAGCCACCGTAAGTTAAGAGTAGAAATATACATATACATGTATATTGTTTTATAAAGAAACCAAAGGCAATAGTAAACTCCAGGCACATTTTTTCCAGAACCTAATCAAGTACAGCTGTGTTATTACAGACTTGTGCCAAAAAGCCAGTGAAGGCATTTGGAGAAGGGTGCTTATGAGACACCGCTGAGCTATGGGAGTCGATCAACATGCCCGGTAGCAACATCGCCTCCTTGCTCTCCTGGGCTTGGGGGACTGGGAAAACAAGTCCAGGGACCACCAGTGGAGCAAGTGAAGCCAGGCCCTGATTCCGAAGAGCGGCTCCCAGGTTTGTGTGGGTCAGCCTTCGAGGTGCTGCCTTTCATCCTCCTGGCTCCCCAGGCACCGCAGCCCCAGCACCACTAGATCCCCTCACGCCCGACCTCGCCTTCTCCGAGTCCCACGCTCCCCCATCACAGAGGGGGGAGGATGCAGGCTGAAGGGACAGTCAGAAACGTTGTTTGAGGAACAACACTGCTGTGCCTCCTTCTTGGCTTCTGTTGCCACCCCACCAAAGCACAGAGCTGAAGTGAGTAAGTACAGCAGAGGGGTAGGGCTTAGACCCCACACTTCACCTTCGGTGTTTGAGAAAGCCCAAACTCAAACAGTTAGAGATGTTTCCACGCAGCACAGACCACTCACTGTGTCCTCTGACAGCCCCTCAACCCCTCAGCTAGCCTCTCCTTTCAAAGTTGAGGTTCAGATAACATTTGATATCTAGTTACCTTCCTGACAAAGTCTCATTTCAATCCAGCCCTATTTTAACATCTGAAAAAAACATTTACTGTTCTGCTGTGGCCATCTGCTACCATCTCCAAGAAGTCAGACCAAAAATACCCAGGTACTTTGAAGAACAGTGTTAGCTGAGACCTAATATGTGTAAAGACAGCCTGACAAGTGGAATATCTTGAAATCTCTTATAAATGAATGGGACTCGGTTTCTGTCTCCAAGGGTAAGTTAGCATCATTGTTCCCTTTGAAAAGGGACTGCAGTAAATGGTACTAATATACCATATATATATATATATATATATACACACACACAAAGTGTGATAAAATGAAGAATTATTTTCAAGGTGGAAGTTAATGAGCAGGAATACAGAAAACAAAGGGGCAACAAGCAGCCTTCAGAATTTAAGTGCTCTCTAATTTTATAATCATAACTTATGGTTAGTAACCAGGCATCAACAAACTTGTCCTGAGTTATGACTCACTTTACGGTAGATTACAGGGGATCCCATTAGGCATCGCTTCTTGAAGAGCGCAGGACCCTCTGGTCTGGAATTACCCAGACTATCTCTGCCCAGCAGTCAAAACTTCAGTGTGTGGCAATCTACAAAGACCTCAGTTTTGGCTTTCAGTAAATAACACAAAATAATCACCACAGGAACAGTCCTGCCCTGTGACTTTGCAATTCAGGTCACCTGCAAGTGAAAATATTCTTCACAAGGACTCCATCCAATTCCCACTGCCTCCCATGGAGTCTTCCCATCCACTGCAACAGAGGCTAAATAGACCGTTATATAATATTTGGAATTGTATGGTTTCAGGCTCCTGGGCATTCAGCCCTAAAGTGTTTTAAGATACAATTTATAAACATAATTTTGCCCCCCTCCCTCAGTACTCTTATCTGCCTCTGTAATAATACTAGTTGCTATGAACAGATTGTGCTAGTTGAAACAGGCAACACAGTGTCAGGAAGCTCAGGAGTGCATTCTTTAATATTAATGCTGTAATACTGAAAACGCTTCAGTGCTAAGCAATAAAGGGATTTTAGCTTAAAGTGAAAGTTTTTGTAAAGACAATATATCCCACACCATTACAATTGTTCA